ATTCTAATCTAGGATTCATCTATCTTAATCCAACATATTAAACAATTCAAATTATCTCTTAAGCAGAACCACACCTAATTCCCACATCACAAATTTGCATTCCCCATGCATGAATATTTAACCAACACAAGAAAGTTGCATGCATACAGAGAGTATTATGGTATTTGAAGACCTGGACTTGACCCAAAGGTGCTTTTCCAAAAGGCAACTGGACTTCCTTGTTTTTTTTTCTCATCCAAGAAGCTTCTTCAGTTGCCTCTTGAAATCAGAAACTAGGTTGCTATTATGAAGCATGCTGATGCCCCTTGCACTCTTAATTGTGTCTTCAAAGGGAGCATGTACAGGTGGAGAAATTTCAAGCAATGCTTGTTGGGAAATGAAAAAGTTGTTTCAGAAAAATCTATGGAGATTCTCAGTCATCCAGGTCCCGTGGTCGTCCCAAAGGTGCTTTTTCAAGAAGCAACTGGACTTTCATCTTATACTTTCTAGCAATTTCAAGAAGGCTTCACACCCAATTGCACTCATCAGCTGACCTTGAGGACAGAGATAAACCTCCAAGTGGCCTCAATGACCCTCTAAAAGAATGCAAATGACCAGCTGTCTGCAAGGAATATAAATCCTTCCATTCCCCACCATCCAGTCAGAGCTGAAGAAGCTTCTTGGATGAGAAGTGAAATGTCTTGAAAGAAAATCAAGAAAGTCCAGTTGCCTCTTGAAAAAGCATCTTTGGAACAATCATGACCTGGATGATTGACACTCTCCATAGACATTTAGGGCTGGGCTTGAGAATACCAGGTACCAATTTCCAACAATTGTAGAATCAAGAAGATAAAAATAGAAGGGGAGTATTATAAATGTTGCCTTACAGCACAAAATAAGGCAACCCTCTAGAATATATGTGGGCGAAAGGCTCTGTGAGCAACTGATGTATGAATTTCTATCATTTAAATTCCCAGAAGTCTTGTAAAATGGCTTAAAGTGAAATGCAGAGATTTGCCCAAGGCTACGTAATGAACACAATATGCTCGGAAGAAGTTTAACCCTTTGTCCCTCATAGGGACACGCAACATCCCATCCATAGTAGCTTTTGGATGTCATTGCTTTTTCTTCATTTTATCTTTCCTTCACATTATACATGCTTCTTTGCTAAATTTTATGAAGCTCACCAAAGAAAGAAAAGCATATTTTCCAGAATGTGCATGGGCTGGAAATAAGAGAAGGTGTGGGGAATGTGTACAAATTAGGAGAAAATGTTGTCAAGCATTTTTGAACATTAGGGAAAGTATAAAAATGAGGATACACAAGGAGGAGAGAAAGGAAATAAGAACCTGTTCTACACAATGTTGGGTTGTTATATTTGAAAAACAAAAGAAGCAAAGAGGAAAAGTGCATATTTGGAGAAACGGTGTCAAAAATACAGGCAGTTTTTGTTTGGACTTTGAGAAATATATGCACAGATGTGAAAACCTTACAGAATGGAAATAATTGTTTTGAACAAAACATGAAAGTGAACAGAACCAAATTCAATTCTATGGCCAGTTCCAGATCTTAACTTGAGGGAACTAAACTTTGTAAATAGATTTTTCACTTTCTTCTCAACCCACAAAGAGTTCTACAACTCAGCTGCCCCCTTGAAAACGTCTCTATCGTTAAGATAAACATGTTAAAGGAGCCTGATGGAGATCTAGCTTCGGTGTGGACCTTCTGTCAGACCTGGAAGCCATCTTTGACATTAGGCTTTCAGGCCTGCCACATTTTCTACTGTGGGAAAAAGGGAGGGGGGATTATATGGAGTATGGGTGATATATAGTCAAAATAACATTCCTTTCTCAGAGAGTCAAGGACACCTTGCCCTGCAGCTGTGATGGTGTGACTGAGAAGCAACTCCAGTTTTGGATGGTGTATGATTGGGTTATGTGACAGACATATGGGTGCTGGGCAGAGACTTGAACTTTCTTTTGGGTGGGGAAAACCTGGAAGTTTTCAGATTTGGGTTTTCCCAGATGTGCCAATATGACATCGCTAATAAAATTGAACCTTGAGCGAACTCAAGCCTTGGAGTCTTCTTTGGTTTGGGGGTGTTACTTGGAACCCTGACACCTTCACTGGGAAAGTCAGTTTTGCTACAAAGTAATGTCTGAATGTCCTTTACACTCGGGGAAAAAGGAAATAAGACATCCGCTGAGCATCTGACTGCGTATTTGCATCTATAAATTCATTCTCCTTTCGTTCCTTCTCTCTTTCCTTATATGACTTCAGGGTGACAAAGCTTGGAAGAATCTCTGGTGCCTGATCATTTCAGATCTTGCTTTATGGATGCAGCCAGAAATGTCATTTTAATCTGTTTTAATTGACAGTTTCTTTTTTGACAGTCAGTTGATATCTCCCTGATGGTTCCAGCCACAGGGCACAAACGCATTGGCACAAAGCAACTAAATAATATCAGACTTTAATTTCTTAAAAAAACGGAAGATGTCAAGCCCCTTCTCTTTTCTCCCCTTGCAGATTCTTCTTAAAATTCTTCCTCAAGTGCAACCAGAACTGTTTGAAGACCGCCGGAAACCCCCGAGATATGCGACGATTCCAGGTAAGCGATGTGGGAATCAGCTGTTAAGTAAGTTGTCTGCTTTTGTTTCCTCCCCCTCTCTGTTGCTCATCACTGACACTGCAGGTAATAAACAAGATGACAGTAAATGATAAGCCCCATCATAGATTGTGGAAGGTTTTTGTTCTCTGTGTTTATCATGTTCAATCCTTGCTTCCTCCCATTTTGGGGGGAGAGGAAAATCCCCAAAAGACATCCCACCAACTGGAGATGTGTATTTGGTTTGACACTCCAAAGTAAGACGCCCGCATATAACAGGGTCTGCATACGGGAACCTCACTCAGATCTTTCCACATTTTTCAAAATATCCTTCTTAATGTGCCAAGAAGTTGTATACTTCCACAACATTCACTTTAGGTTTGTTCTCAGCTGTAGCTATTTCAGCTCTGGTCACTTTAAGGACTCTCCCTAGTGAAAGCAAGTAGGCCCATGGGAGGGTGCCCCAGCTGCTTTTGAGGAATAGCTGCCACTAGTTTCATCATAGCTGATGCTGATGAATTGAAAATACTAGCTAATAAAAACACAGGAGGAAGTGAAGGGCTCTGGTTGCAAACCCTGTGAAGGGAGGAAAGGCGGATGGGGAAGAGGGTTGAGGGGATGTAGGCACTAAATCTTATTTATTTTTCTCTCTCTTTGACACCCCTTAATCGCTTAAGCCTGGTGGCACAAATGTAAGACTCTTGCAGTGATTCCCCCCACTCTTCTAACTATAAACTGCTCTGAACTCTTTTTGCCGAGTCTGGTTATTGTTGCTTCATGCAGGTATTCCCCAATTTACAGGCTGTAATTCAACTTGGAATTATGACAATTCTCCACAGCCAACTTGCCATGGCCAACTTGTTGCAGCCAACTCCCATGTGGGACTAGTCGCCACAGCCAACTCGCCACAGGACAATTCGCAACAGGACAAGAGTTACACTAACAGCAAAGAAATGGCAGAATAAATTCATTGAAAAAAGGATGCAAAAGGAGGGACAGAAGGAAATGTGAATGGCAAAAATTAAAATATTTTTAAATTTATTTTAAATAATGAAATAGAATTGTTAAACGGTCTCACAGCAAATTGTCCCACGATGAGTTGGCTCTGAAGAGTTGTTCCATTCCATGAATTATAGTCATAACTTGTGGAAGAGGTTAAGCAGTTAAGCATGTTAACATATGACTGCTCCCAATTCCACAACTTTTTTTCCAGCAGTTGTTAAGTGAACATAGTGGTTATTAAGCAAGTCTGTTTGCCCAATGCCTTTTTTGGGGGGGTGGGTGGGAAACTGGAAGTAAATATTAAAAACCAGGAACATATGCCAAAAATTGCACAGAGATCTGCAATGCTTATATAGGACAGTGATATGAAAATTTCTGTTAGGCTTCTATAAGTTGGTTGTGCTACACTTACCTTAGCAAAGCAGCAGGAAGTGCTTCACTTGCACACAAACACAGATAAACACACAAATACTCTTCCAACACTACAAGTTGAAAGGGGCTTTTATGGCCAAGGAGAACCCAATTGTCATCCAAATGAAATATCCATGCAATGATTTGTGAAGCCCTAATTTTTAAAGGGATACGGTGGCTCAGTGGCTAAGACACTGATCTTGTCGATCAGAAAGGTCAGCAGTTCAGCGGTTCGAATCCCTAGTACCATGTAACAGAGTGAGCTCCCATTTCTTATTCCAGCTTCTGCCAATCTAGCAGTTTGAAAGCATGTAAAAATGCAAGTAGAAAAATAGGAACCATCTTTGGTGGGAAGGTAACAGCGTTCTGTGTGCCTTCAGCATTTAGTCACACCGGCCACATGACCACGGAGATGTCTTCGGACAGCGCTGGCTCTTTGACTTTGAAATAGAGATGAGCACCGCCCCCTAGAGTCAGGAATGACTAGCACATATGTGCAAGGGAAACCTTTACCTTTGACTTAATTTTTAAACCTGTATCTCTGCAGAAAAGCTAGATTTGAATAATTTAGGCAGTTCGTCGTCTTTCCTGAAGTTTCCTTTTGTCGTTGGGGGAAGCAGAAGGGGCTATGCTAGTAGGGCTGTCCAGTACTCTGGATTCAGTTTCTAAAATAGCTTTGGCACTATGAAGCTATGGCCAGAGCATTTTCTGCAATGCCATAAAGAGCCATGCATTTTCCTGGCACGACATGGCATTTGAGGATAATGGCCATAAGTTCCTGGCCAAAGGAATGAGTGTTATAGTCATGGATTTCAAAAGCCATTTGGGGCAATTGAACCCAAAGCACGAAAGAGTGTCACCTACACACAAAGCAAAAAGCAAAATCTTCCTTGCAAGGACTTTTATTTAACAGAATACTAGAATAACAGAGTTGGAAGAGACCTTGAAAGACTTCTGGTTCAACCACCTGCTCAAGCAGGAGACTCTATGCCACTGGTGAAATTCATTTTTTTTTTACTACCGGTTCTGTGGGTGTGGCTTGGTGGGCATGGCTTAGTGGGCATGGTGTGGCTCTAACCACTGCGCCACCTTTGGCACTATGAAGCTATGGCCAGAGCATTTTCTGCAATTTTCTGAAGAGCCGAGGTGGCGCAGTGGTTAGAGTGCAGTACTTCAGCTGACTGACTTCATCTGCAGTTCAGCGGTTCAAATCTCACTGGCTCAAGGTTGACTCAGCCTTCCATCCTTCCGAGGTGGGTGAAATGAGGACCCAGACTGTGGGGGCGATATGCTGACTCTGTAAACCGCTTAGAGAGGGCTGAAAGCCCTATGAAGCAGTATATAAGTCTAACTGCTATTGCTATTACTGCTATTGCTTGGTGGGCATGGTGTGGCTTGATGGGTGTGGCAGGGGAAGGATACTGCAAAATCCCCATTCCTTCCCCACTCTGGGGCCAGCCAAAGGTAGCATTTGCCAGTTCTCTGAACTACTAAAAATTTCTGCTACTGGTTCTCCAGAACCTGTCAGAACCTGCTGCACTGCAGGCTACTGCTAGATCAGCAGTTCAGCGGTTCAAATCTCACCGGCTCAGGGTTGACTCAGCCTTCCATCCTTCCGAGGTGGGTAAAATGAGGACCCAGATTGTTGGGGGCAATATGCTGACTCTCTGTAAACCGCTTAGAGAGGCCTGAAAGGCCTATGAAGCGGTATATAAGTCTAACTGCTATTGCTATTGCTATTGATTTCACCCCTGCTCTATACCATTTCAGACAAGTGACTGTCCAATCTCTTCTTAAAAACTTCCAGTGTTGAAGCAGCCACAACTTCTGGAGGCAACTCGTTCCACTGATTAATTGTTCTTACTTTTAATAATTGGAATTGGAATTGGAGCAACTCGTTCCACTGATTAATTGTTCTTACTTTTAAGAAATGCTTCTCTCCTTGAGTACTTTCCATCCATTGCTTCTTTTCCTGCCTTCAGAGTTTTTTGAGAATAGGTTGACCATGTCTTTCTTGTCCTAGTTGCTCAAATATTGGAATCCTGCTATCATGTCACCCAGTCCTTCTTTTAATTAAACTAGACATTTCCTTTAAGAACTTCTATATCCCCTCATTCAGCTACCATCTCCATGGATGCTGTGATTTTGAGTACATAACAGTTTGCACTTTGTTCTTCGGTATAAAGTGAACAAATGTTAAACAGCTTTTAATCTGAAGATCTAAAAGGTACCAGTCAGCCTTTCACACAGGGTCAAGTGTGTTTATAACATGAATACCCTCCCAAAGGATTGTTATGCCTTCTGCACTCTAAAACACCCACCTTCTTTTACCTTTCATCCCAGGACTAGCCCTCAGCATCAACAAAAACAAATAAGTTGTTTAATGGTTTTGCTTCAGGTTACCGAGGACACTTGTCAGTCCAAGAAATGAAATAACCCAGAACTGATAAAAATACAGATTGCATCAGAGCAGAAGAGAGGGATAAATGGGGTTATAGCTTAGAGTCTTGATTGAACGAAGCTGCTTTGATAACATTGTAAAACAAAATGATTGGGTGGAGTGAATCGCAGCACTAGTTCATTTTCAATGCTTTGCACTGTATATTTCCATGCACAAAGACATGCACACACAACATACAGTGGTGGGATTCAAATTATTTAACAACCAGTTCTCTGCCCTAATGATTTCTTCCAACAACCAGTTCACCAAACTATACAGAAAGTTAACAACCGGTTCTCCCGGAGTGGTGCAAACTGGCTGTATCCCACCACTGACTATATATGTTTATGTTAAAATGATCTAGCTTTTGGATCTTAAGTGTTTGGGTGTGTATATGTCAGCTTGCCAATAATGTGCAGTTTCCTCCTGAGAATGGATCACACATCCCAATTTCATGCATCCCAAAGAATTAATCTTGTTTTTTTTAAAAAAAGACTTCATTTGAGCTTGATAGCAGCAGAATAAATAACTCACCCAAAGTACCAGTGAGTGACAAGACTTTCAGAAATTCTGAACATATAATCTAGTAATAGCAATAGCAATAGCAGTTAGACTTATATACTGCTTCATAGGGCTTTCAGCCCTCTCTAAGCGGTTTACAGAGTCAGCATGTTGCCCCCAACAACAATCTTGGTCCTCATTTTACCCACCTTGGAAGGATGGAAGGCTGAGTCAACCCTGAACCGGTGAGATTTGAACAGCCGAACTGCAGAACTGCAGTCAACTGAAGTAGCCTGCAGTGCTGCATTTAACCACTGCACCACCTTGGCTCTTATCTGACTGCAGGTGCTTTCTTGTACATGGACTACAGGAATAATTTGCCCATCAGTGCACACTGAAGTACATACAGACAATCCTCGACATATGACCACAATTTGGACCAGAATGCCCATTGCTTAGCAGGATGATTGTTAAGTCATTTGCACCTGATTTTACAGCCTTTTTTTTGCCGCAGCTATTAAGTGAATCACTGCAGTTGTTAAGCAAATCCAGCTTTAGCTTTGCTTCTCAGAAACCAGCTTCGAAAGTCACAAATAGCTACCATACGACTATCATAAATACATCCTGGTTACTAAGTATTCACATTTTT